GTCTGCCTCCGCGGGCGGAGTGCCTTCAACCCGGCTCCCCCTGTGTAAAGTCGCCCTCAATCTTGGCACCGAGGCGTGCGGCCACCCTGGGGAGCGGGGGGGCTCCGCCGCCGGGGTGCCTCTAGGGTGAGTTAGTGTCCCTTCCTCCATCGTTTTTCTTAAATCATGCCGGGGCAGGTTGGGGGACGGAGGGGGACAAGTGGGAGGCACGCAGCGGGGGGGCAAGGCCGCCTCGGGAAAGGCAGCGGGAGGATGCGGGGGAAGGAGGGTCTGAGAAGACAAACGGTGAACAGTGTGTTTTTAAATCGCAGGGGATTGTGCTGGTTGCGACAAGTATTTTCGTCCTGGTTTAGCCTTCGGGGGCATCAGGTAACGCTCATTTTTTAAACTTCTGTGCTTTCTTCTTTTTACAACTTCCTTTCCACTGATGACACCCATCCCTGAAAAGTGTGGCAATGAACACGATCGGGAGACTTTGAGTCAAAGGAAAACTTGATTTACTGAAAGTTCATTCTACTCCCTCTGATCACATTCTGAGTGATAAACAACAGCATTACTGCCAGCGGGAACAGTTCTACTGGCCTTTCCCTCCCTAACATCTCAGCTTTCTCCCAAATGCCTGAGCTTTCACATCCTTTAACTGATCAGGTGAACCATGCTATATGCAGTTTTAGAAGCATTTTAAAAGCTTAAATGCATGCTTTAGTGTAATCCTAAAGTTTGCTTTCTCATTTGTGGAATGAATGAGACAGGAACTATCCATATATATGAAAATGCACCTGAATGGTCCATTAGCCATCTATCACAGCAACTAAGAAGGGAGTTGTTTTGGTATTTTTGCCACAGTTAGCTAGTTGTAAAATTACAACTTGACCTTTCTCCTTTCATCTATGCTCATTGCTTTATGGTGTCAGTAAGCCCCAAAAAACTTCTTTTAATCATGAGTTGCCATAGAACTGCTAAATTGGAATACAGTTAGTTCTAAAGCTTGTTGTTGCACGTCAGACTAATTCACTATTTCAAGAAATTCTTATGCGGAGTTGATTTTACAGCAGAATTCAAAAAAATGGACTTTTATATTTGCTGTGTTTAATCTAAACAAGGTTCCCTTCCACACTAGCTGGTTGTCCCACACTTTTTTTTTTGTGTGATTTTTTCTTCAGTTGCTGGTTTCCTTTTTTCACGTCCAGGTAGTATAATTGCTTGTGTTTGGGACTTTTCTCTCTCTTCTATCTTTCTCCATTCTGCCAGGCTTACATCTTGTTTTTCGTCTTGTTTTCAGCTGATTTTGATGCTTCTTTTTATGTTTTCAGTTAATTAAATGCTCAGCCTTAGATTTCTATTTGCTGTCTCTCTTAAAGTGATTTATTTAGGTCTTTCTGTTTATTTTTAGATAGGTTTCTATGTTGCTGAGTGATGTTGAAAGTACAATGTGATTTCTTATCCATGTAAAGCTTTTTCCTCTTGAAAACGATAAACTAGAAAATACTTGCATCAACCTATTTCTCACTGATATTTAATTAAAAGGCCATTGATTGCATTTGGGAGAATCATAAAAGATCTTAACCTTAAGTATGCATTCTTTGTTCCCAACTATAATTCTCTGGTGGATTCTCTGTTACCCAAAACAATTGCATGAAAAGCTGTAGGTAATGTCCCGTTTCTTATTTCCCGTTTAAAGTTCTCTCTCCTGCACGCTAATGGTGGTTACCCTGGGAATAGCTGTGAGGTGCAGGTACAAGTGCAGCAGTAAGTCTGGAACAGACTTGTTCTCACTGTGGCAGGTGTGATATGATAACCTTGCAAGTAATGGTAAACAGTATATGAGATTTCTGGGCCAGGAGTCTTAAATCAGTCTTCACATGGTCTCGAGGAGCGAGCAATAGCATGTTACTCCAGTTGGGCCTATTGGTCCCACTTCTTGCCATTGTTCCCTGCAAAAAATGCAATTCTCGCATTTTGCTTCACTTAACCAACCCGTGGGTCTCTCAACCATGAGATGAAGATGAGTGAAGATGGTGAAGTGTGATTGTAACAGTGGTTTGTGCGGCTGGGTGAGTTTGGTGGGCTATTTTTCTTTTATATCTCTTAGTTGAAAAAACAACTTCCTCTTATCAAAAACTAGCTTGCAGATTTACTGAAGTGGAGCAGAGAGAGCTGTTATGAAGACAAAGCCCAATCAAAGTCATTCGATGTTGTTACCTAGAAACTCTTTGGTTTTGGCTCTTTGTCAGTACCCAAAACAATTTAGAAAGATAAAGGGGGAAAAAATCTGGAAGACAAAGAAACTGTGAGTGACAAAAACTATTTTTTGGAGACAAGTTCAGAAGCTCTAAAATGTATTTACAGAGATGTTCAGGGTTGGCAAAAAATTTTTTTCCCCCCTTATCTTGTTTCTGCTTCTTCTACCTTGATTGACCTCACGTCAGTGCATCTAGCGTTTAATAGAAGAAAGTTTAAAACTCCTAAGTAAGGAGACAATTTCAGGCATGCAGAGGTGGCTAGCAAAAATGGTAGAATGGAATTGATTTTAAACATGCACCTAATCTAGAGCATGTGGAAGAACCTAAGACAGGAAGTAAAAATGGCTTGCTAATTAAAATGATAATATAAAAATGTTTTAGTATTATTGTAATGCTTGTGAGTCGTTAGCTTTTTATACTTTATATAGAATGTATATATTTCATATATGTAACAAAAAAGAATCTTTAAAAAACTGTAATATTTTCAGTAACTCCAAATGGCTGGATCAGGTAGAGGAAGAGGGCGTGCTGCGTTTACCTTCAACATTGAGGCTATTGGCTTTGCTAAAGGTGCAGCTCTACCTGAAGTAGTATGTAAGCCTCCACCGCTGTTTCCTGTAAGTACAGCAACTCTCTTAGACCATACTCTCTGTTCAGGTGAAGTGTTTTCACTTTCATGTTTAGATAATAGGATGAAATATATGAACAGGCCTAGGCACTTTAAGTCAATTTTGAAGTATTCAGTGTAGATAACCATAAGTTTCCATTATTGTTTTTTCTCATTATTGCTTCCTGTCTCTTTGCTACCCATTGCATCCTATGTTTCGCTAGATTGCTTGCAAGATGTTCATTCATTAAAGCCCTCATCATGATTTGGTTTTCTGGACATTACAGTAATGGAAACACTGAATATCTGAATTTGAAGTAAAGTTATGCTACACTTCGAAGTTGTGAATTGATCTTCAAATTTAGAAATTTACTATTGATACAAAAAATAGAAAGATTTTAGATAAATATCTTTTACCTGAATAGATGGAATTTGAAAGTAATTTGAAAATAACTGGAAGATATTTATGTAATTAGGAAATTGAGATTTGGAATTCAAATTCTCTAATGGCTTGTAAAAACAAAAGGCAAAAAAGGCAAATATTTTCTTATTAAGCTGAGTTTTGCTATGTAGGGGAATCTGGACAATTTTGACACTGAAAAACACTGTTTTACGATGCTGTAGTTTTAAATAAGGAAACTTCCCAGTTATGTAAGGATCTGATCAAGGTGCGTGATATTTCTCTCAATCCACATGTTATGATGTGAACATCGAAGTTTAGCATATAATCGTTGCTATTCTGAGATTTCTCTGAGTAGTTTTTGCACCTGAAGTTTTGACTTACTGCACCAGATCTTATTGGCTATCTTCTGTTCTCTTAGTCCACCATTTCTTTTACAGACTAAATTGCATGACTTTGCTGATACTAAGCCATCTATAATGGCTAATGTTCCTAATGTGAATGTTGCTGTCTGCTAATAGCATGAATTCTCTGTGAATTACAGCTTCCACAGTTAGTGTCACCAATGGAGCTGCCTTGTAAGAGAATTACTAGCCCCAGTATATTTAACGGAGATCAGGAGGAAGTTAAAGATGCTTTCTTCCTTCTGAGAACTGTTACATACAGAGTAGCTAAACTTTCCAGGAGATACCTAGTGCCATTCAAAAAACAAAAGAACCAAGCAGCATGACTAGAATTGAAAAAAACTTAAGCACAGTTAATGACTGGGCAGTGACCAAAAGTCTGACATTACAGCAGTTGACCAGCTTGCACTGAAATTACTTTAAACAGTGAATTGTTGCTCTTACATATAGCCTCTTTTTGTGTTCTTCTAAATTTTCTGTGACTGCACTTAGAACTCGAGCAAGGAGCATCAGCATGCCATTGCCAACATTAATGATTTAAAATGTAGGCCCGTTAGTAAATATAGCTGGAACTAGTAAACTATTTTCATGACCCAGCCTTGGGACTTGCAGTAGTCTTTGTGCTTTACAACCTACCACTCAGTTATTGCTTGTGTACCATTCATTGTGTGAGAGAAATAACATCTAGTTACTATGCTATAATTCTGTCCCTGGCCCTAGTTAGCTGTGTATTTTTAAGACTGCTTATGCTTATTTATCTTTCCCAGTTTCAAGATTCATAGTCCAAAAAGGGCGAGGGGAGGAGGCTTAACAATTCACTTGAACAGACGGACTGAGATGTGGGTGGGCCTGTGTGCTGTGTGGGTGTTATGACTCTTAATGGAGATGGTGTCTGTGTTATTCGAAGTAATTAACGTAATTAATGTGGTTATAACACTGTTTTAGAAGAGGTTAAGACCAGCTCTACTGTGAAGATAGAGAAGCAACGATTTCTGAATAAGTTAGGCTGGCATGAGAAACTGCATTTGGGATTTAAGAATACTGGCCCCATGAGCCTAACATCAATTGAATGACTATTTCACTGTTTTAATATACTTTTTTTCTTACTTTCTTCCTATATTTTTGCAGAAAGATATAGCTAAGTCATAGAAGGTATAAATTTAATTGCAAATATAGTGTTGTGCATGTCAGAATGCAATAAAGTATACTTGCAAAGTAGCATGATAAACAGTTGCACTCTTTCGTGAGTAATGTGTTTATTGTAGCTTTTTGTTGGTGTTCCTGTTTGTTTGATGGATATTAACACATTATAAATAATAAACATAATTTGTACAGAGTACAGACAATAAGCCAGTGCCTCTGAAAACAGGAGAAGATGAAGACTACATGTTGGCCTTAAAACAAGATCTTAGAGGAACTATGAAAAAAATGCCTTATTTTTTGGCAGTAGAAGAAGATCACGAAGGTCTGTTTGTGTGCTTTTTATTTGTATTTATATCTTCAGTAGTTATCCTGTGAAGGATTGTGTAGTGAAATGCATGTGTTGAAGATGGAATTAGTACTGATAATAAGGAATAAAAAACAGCAGCTTAAAACAATAGAGAATTTTTCTGTTTTTACACATACTGAAATTACTGGTCAACCCCTACAAGTGCTGCAGCTGGAAAACAACTGCTCCATGAGAAAAGAGGAGGAACAAACATCTATTTTCTTTGAGAGAAAGCACGAAGCACTAAGACCAACTCTATGCAGCTTTTCAATTTTACATTGATCAAATACAAATGGAATAGAGAATTGTACATGCTGAAAATACCCTAAACATCTGCAATGGAACAAAGAAATATATATTAAATACATAGGGTTAAAATTCAGCTTCGTTTTTAACTGCCTGAAGATGTACTTAAAATAAAGTTGTATTTAACAACAGGGCAGTCTAAAAGGTGCTCTTCTAGGACATGAGTTTTTCTCTATTCCTATTAAGGAAAAATTGGTAAGTGTTACTGCCAACACACCTGAAATATGAAGAAATTTGAAGATTGAGATGAGAATAAGTGATTTACTGAGGTTTGCGTCAGAAGCAGAGCTGGATTAGAAGTGCAGGATTACACCTGAGAATATGTCTTTTGCTTATATATAATTAGAATTGAACAGTAGCAGCTCTTTCACTGTTCAATAGTGATGAATGTTATGCTGTACTCAACATCAAGTCATATGTCATTGATACTGTTAAAATCCAAGCTTCTTGGTCAGAAAACTGAACTGGTGGGAAGGAAGGGAGAGCAGAGAAGGCAGACTTCAGTGTGTTCACCTTGCTGTGGGTATGTTTGAAATCTAGCAGTCACAGGATGTTATTACTGTGAGGAGTGCTTCTTTTTGGTGCTGATTTTTGCCCGTTATTTCTATCATTTTCCTGAATGCTTGCTCTGACTGGTATAAATGGTAAGTGCTGTTACAGGAAAGTAGGAAATATAAGAAAACGGTAAGTGCTGTATTCATTAGACTGAATACAGTCTAATGAATTCAGTGCTGTAGGCTGTCTCTAACAAGCTGTATAGAGAGGTTTAAGAAGTCCAGAACGGCCAAACACCACATATTCCTTCTCTTGCTATCACATGCTGATTTTGAATAATGAGAGCTGGCTTGAACTCTAGAACATGAGATATAATAGCCCTCCTGAAACCGTCAGAATATCTTCTCACTCTGACTATTCATAATACAGGTATGATATAGATGTATAGTACAATCCCCGAGAGAAACATAGTATACTATAGTGTGTGTGTATACACTATACACACACGTGTGTGTGTGTGAGTATATATAGACACACATACACACTTTGGTTGACATACCTCATTGATTGCCCACTTATTCTTGTATTAGAGCACTGTTTAAAATGGAGCAGCACGCTGTAGTGTGAGCAGATAGTCACTTTTTTTTTTACTCTAAACTTATTTTCAGGCAGTCACATCTCTGTGGTGGTTCAGTATTCCTTCAGAAGCTCCCTGGGAACTACTGCTGCCCCTGAATTCCTACTGAGACCTTGAAATAGTTTCAGAAGCCTAGGCTTCTCACAGCAATAAGATATTGTGGATCATGTGGCATGTGCCACCCCATTTCTGAGGCAGGAAGGAGCTCCTGGATCCCAATTCCTGTTGAGCATAACTACCCACAAGACTATGTGGCTCAGGAAAGCAGAGTATTTCCTCTGCCCTGCAGCTGGGGCTCCATAGCCTCTGGGACACAACATGTATCTGCAGTGTAGCACCTACTTGCAGCCAGGTGGACCTTGGCAGCGCGTTCTTCCAGCCCCCTTATGGAGGCAAGGTCTTGGTGCTGCCAGATGCAGTTGCAGCCTAACTCCTGCT